CAACGGTGGCCTATCGGTTCAAGTGTTCGCTCGTCACGCCGAGTTCGAATTCCCACAAGGGAGCCCATTTCTTATGTCCCCCGCAGTTATATTGCTGAAATATTGCTGAAATCGTCGGAAAAACAAACTCTTTATTTACAAGTCCTATACCGTTTGCTTTCAGATAACGACCTGCACAGAAATCGCATTCGCTGTGTGTGAATCAAGCAGTCTAATATCTTTACAATGGGGTTTCAAGCAAGTGAAATGCGTGTAGATCGGAGTATATGAACGCTCAGTGTGTTTGCGCAATGTGAACGTAAGCGCTGTGCCGGAGTACAATTTGAGAGGTCGTGTTTTTATCAAAAGCTTGTTGACCAGTTAATGTAAATTACAGCACCGCGTAATGTCCATGTATACGGTTCAAGTAACGGCTGCAGCTGTCTATATTGATGTATGTGGACACGACAACACAATGTACAACCGCATCAACGATCACGACATCGAACACGCACCGACAAATTAAATCCTGTCCTCCGTTCCATGTAGCAACGGAGAATCAATATAGGATGACATAATTAAGTAAACATTGCATTAACAGAAAGCAAATAGAGATATCATGTTTGAATACATTTCCCCGTCGCTGTAACATATACATGAAATAACATGGTCACGTGACATGGAATAACATGACCACGTGACCTCGCCACAGCGTGGCAGCGCATGTCGGTGACTACCAGACGCAGATCACGCTCACTTAGCCAAACCGTCCAACAATTGAGGAAATTACAAAGACCCCAAAAACAATAAGTTATATATTTGTGGGTCACGATTTGTGTTATTTCCATTGTGCGGGGGCACACGGAGGCATTGGGCAATAAACGATGTCGATTTTCTGGTAATTAAGTATTGATGGGGAGTCAAGCCGGCCATGCTTATTGCCGCTTGGGACTTGAAGCATTTATTTCCTTTAGTTATTAGACTGATACGTAATAGACATTGATCAGGACACAACTTGAGCGTGGCTGCCAGTGAACATTCAATTACATGATTTTTGTGAAGTGACTAGGGTTTGTCCTTACAGAAAGGTGTGCATATGAGGAGCCGCGAGTATTTAGAACTTCGCAGTATTTAGAATTTTCGAATTCAACTTTATTTTAAAATTTGTCCAAATGACCTGTTACTCGCGATAGCTAGAGTATGAATATTAGGAATGTGTAAGCTGTCTGTGACACTGTATTTGTTCCTGTCACTAAGATATGGTAAGACATGGTGGCATGTGTGATGCCAAACATGGACAATCTTCACGATTAGAAATTGCAATTAGAAACAAATCCTAAAACATACATTCCTGAAAGCATATTTTGCGTTTTCTCGGCCCCCTTGGATGAGGTTAGGGATGGTGGTTTGAACACCGCTATGTGTCTCATAATGTATTATGCAATGTTGACTCCCCTGGATGTCTCACTGACGCACTCTACTCCGCTATATGTCTGGTGGTAGAAGAACCCCTCGTATTTAAAGCTTGTTGTAAGAGTAGGCTGAAGAGAATCGGGTGGTCAGGTGCGGTGACTTGGTAGACTGCGTGTCCACTTGCCCCAAACTATAACTACAGCCGTGAACATCCGGGGTGGAATAGGTCTTCAGCAACCCATGCTTGTCGTAAAAGGTGACTATGTTTGTCGTAAGAGGCGACTAACGGGATCGGGTGGTCAGGCTCGCTGACTTGGTTGATGCATGTCATTTATCCCAATTGCGTGGATCGATGCTCATGATGTCAATCACTGGATTGTCTGGTCCAGACTCGATTATTTATAGACCGCCGTCATATAGCTGAACTATTGCTGAGAGCGGTGTTAAACAACAAACAAACAATAACTAGAATACTGCTGACTGCGGCTTTAAACAACATTCACTCCTTACCAGCACGAGGAGGCATGCACTTATTGCACCTACGTATGACCACACAGTATTGTCAGAGGGTACATCAAAGAACCCTTCGTGGAACATCTGAGATATCCGAAGGTCGAAACAAGCAGCGTACAGATATCAGACCCCAGTGCCGAGCATACAACTACATATTTCTATTGTTGGTTCGAGTTACATCGCCTTCCACGATATATTGATATAATGGGATTCTAGTTACACCGCCTTCAACGATATATTGATATAATGGGGTTCGAGTTACACCGCCTTCAACGATATATCGATATAATGGGGTTCAATGTACATCACCTCAAATGGCGTTCGCGAGGTTTCTTGTTTTTGAAAGACTTGGCAAACCCTATTCTAGGTGTCCCCGTCCTCTTAATTTAAATTACAGGATTAACTTCTGCATACGAACCGAAACGTTTCTTTCTTCTGTCTGTTAACTAAGTTCCAACATTGACAAGGAACTCAAACTAGATCAATTCGAGGTCACCAACCTTATGACGTATGTAGCATAGTAAATGTGAACAAACCTCCCTGTCCCCCTGCCATGACAGTCATCTACGTTTGAGCTTAAAAAATAAATTAATACCTGGTGCCATTGTACAAAACAACCTTAGTGCTGTGTTAAGGTATGGGAATTGTGATCACCTTAGCGCTAAGATCGCTTTGTACAACGGCTCCCAGGTCTATATAGGAATCTAGGTAACCTTTTGGTTTGTGTCCTAAAAAACAAACCCTTTTCACCTTTTTATATTTTCACCAGACCGATAATGTTTTGAGTAGTCACCGCGTGTTTTTTATTTTACGAACAAGAGAGCAAAACTTGTCACTTCACGTTCACTACAGGCCAGTCAATACTAATTGAGTCGGCGTTGTTGAGCTGTGTGATCTACTGCTTCGTTACCACAAATCTGAGTCACGGCGTCCGACAAGGAATTCTTATCACATTAGCCCGGAAAACAGACAGACACTGCTCACCTCCAATTCATTTATAGAAAGGGTCTGTAACCAAAGTTGGTTTGAAGATGAATTTCGTTTTGTTGGGTTCAGCGCCTCATATCAGTATTAATTCATCATAACGCGCCAGTGGCTGATGAACTACAATTTGATTATTGCTCTAAATGTATACTAGTATTTAATATGAACACTACAACAAGCATGTATTCATTCTTCTCGGAGAAGATTCGTCTTATCATAAAACCGTGGTCTGTCTGAGATGCTGTCGAATGTGTTTCGTTATTGACACCAAACTTTTCTTGTAAAATCTAGACATTGTGTTACCTTGGAATCGAGTATCCCATCCGTGATTATCTAATGAGTTATATCGCGTTTCTATGACGACAAATACCCTGGAACCATTCCCTACCATTCGTTTCGGAAGTTAAGTCACCATTTTCATCCTTTGCATCACTAACTTAGCTTTGTCCCTCCGTGTATCAGTCGACTTTGACTGGATGGCGAGTTTTAGCGTGGAACCAATGGCGGAGACGACGTGCAATTGCACTTATCACACTAACAGAGATAACACAGACATAATTACTTCGGGACCAAACATTTGATACCAAGATATATTCTAACGGAAGCCTTTTAGGGCCATTTGTTTTTTATTTTGTTTCTTGAAATTTCAAGATAATGAGCAGTTAGTATCTGGAAATTTTAAGTTAATATCTTGAAATGTCAACTTATTATATTGAAATGTCAACTTATAATCTTAAAATGTCAACATAGCATCTTGAAATCTCAAGTCTGGTATGAATAAATGTACCTTGAATGATGTGGCCCTACATAGCCTCTCAGGGGACAATAATTTTACGCTACTTCAACCCCCTTTGAGAATACAGCCACTTACCATCTAAGTCACAAATTATACATTACCAATTTAATATATACCTATCTGCACAATTCAAAATTTATCGATAAATTCAATTTCCTATAAAAACCTATAATTAAATGACAATTGCTAGTATTAAAAAGAACCTTAATTGATGATGATTGGAATTATTTATCCCTTGTGATGGGAAAATCAACAGTCAAGCAGAACATGCTTGGCCGTGATTCTTTCATCACAAGGGATACACAATGGAGGATAATCACCCACCTTTCAATATATATTCCTTTGTATACCTGCTATTGCTAATACGACATCGCCGCATTACGCCCTCTTCAAATCTGGACTGACAACCCAAGTAGGTGTAACCGATATTTGGTTTAAATTCATGTAATTTATCGATACCTACTTTTGTGTCCCACTTCTTTTGTATCAGATCTCGGATATATGATCCAATCACGGGTTTATAATCAGTGTGTGGGATCAGAAGTGGTGTCAAAGATTTGTTGAGTGCTGCTTTTGCAGCAGCAGCAGCCATTGTGTTACCAATGATTCCTATATGGCTTGGTAACCAACAAAAGACGATGTCGTATTGGCCAGGAGCAAGATCATTATATAATTCATTAATTTTTATTAAAAGTAGATGTTTGCAAGACTGATATTTAATTGCCTGAAGACAGGAAAGAGAGTCTGAAAATATAATGAACGGTTTATATTTTGATTGTTTATTTATATATTCTAGTGCTGTAAAGATAACCTTTGACTCAGTCGTAAAAATGGAAAAGTTATCTGGTAATCTTGATGATATAGTCCTGGATCCAATGACGGTGGCGCTGGAAACAGCGTCACCATCCTTGGATCCATATGTAAATATAGATTTGTAAGTATCATAAGTGTGTTTTAATTGATTTTAATCTTGTTGATTAATAAGTTGATTTGTTTCAGATTTCTTAAGTTTAGTTGAAGTTGAAGCTGTAACAACTGACACGGGGGGAGACGACAAAAGCTGAGTTGGAGCTATATTTTGAAGATTGGGGCAGCAGCAGAAATGGCAGGTTCGATTCTCACTCCAAGTGGCGGAATAAGGGGAGGCGTTTTATGATACATGTCCTCATAAAGAGGATTAAAAACGCAAACATATGCAGGATTAGTTGAATTTGAATAGAGCTTTGTGAGCTATTGCAAAGATGGGTTACATGATGGACAGAGCATAACACTGACTTGAGACAAAGACATTGACTTGAGAAAGGCACCGACGTACCGTGTTGTCAACGTTGACGGGACGGAGACCCAGCTTCGCAGCCAGGAACCGCAGTCTCTGGTAGGAGTCGGTGTCGTCGGTGTTCCAGTCGTTGTCCACTAGTGACGGCCTGCAGAAAGATGACCGTTGGTCAGTTCATATAATGGCACGCATTGTACATGGGAAATGGTCAGTCACTGTAAAGTTACATCACAACACCTATGGTCAATATGGCGGCAAACTGTGAGACAACTGCTTCGACGGCCACCACGTGTTGCACTGCATTTCCTTACAGGATAAAATAAACATTTAACTAACTTAAATCTAACTGTTCTGAAGTTGGTTAAGATACAATTTTAATGTCAAGGCTGCCTGTGTTTTAAGGTTCCGCAATTCGTTTGACAGAGTTGCGCCCCTTAGTAGCGGCCAGTATCCTCTGTTCGTCAATGTGTTTACGACTTTTAGCTTTCGTTAACCTTAAACCCTTACCTACCTGTATGAGAATACTAACTAAAACACAACAGCCGTGGAAAGTACGAATATCAGAATAACACCACCTGTTTGGGAAATTGGATTCTGCTATTTCCAAACATTTTCTAGGTATAATGTCAGGTAGACACAATCAATATTTGTCCAGCTGAAAAATACAGACAAGCAACAAATAGTTGACATTTGGCTGCGCGACTACTGTCGTTTATGTCTGTGGATTAAGTATTTTCTTACAGAAAACATTAAAGAAATATCACATAGTATACTCCTGAAAACAGAGCTCATGGTACGTTGTCGACTTACTCTTTGTTTAACGTTGACAAGTCGTCACTGTCGGCGGCGTCCATGATAGCTGCCTGGGCTCGCTTGGCGGCAACACCGCGGCACCGGGGGGCAAATACGAACCGCCTGTAGGGTGGAGGATAGAACAGCCATGTGATACAAGTACATTTCTGAATACTCTTTTAAATATGCAACACGTGCATATACACAACACATACAGTGTCACAGCAATAAGCGACCCGTGAAGATCCGGGGTTGAATAGGTCTTCAGCAACCCATGCTTGACGTAACAGGCGATTATGCTTATCGTAAGAGGCGACGAGCGGGATCAGGTGGTCAGGCTCGCTGACTTGCTTATCCCAATTGCGTAGATCGATGCTCATGATGTCAATCACTGGATTGTCTGGTCCAGGCCCGGTTATTTAGAGATAACCGTCATATATCTCCGCCGTCATATAGCTGGAATATTGCTGAGTGCGGCGTTAGACAAACAAACAAACAAACAAACAAACACAGCAATAAGCACCATAGGGGCACATTCAACCTCACTCTATTCGAATATTGTGAAAACATTAACTTTGCTGAAACCAGTGTTTTGTTGATGACTAGGTACGTAAGAATACCTTCACGTGAACATGTATTGATATTGACGACTCATGGTAATGGGGTTCGAATCCCAGAGTCGCACTGATCGTTGGTTTGGCAGCACCATAAGTGTGGGTCTTAAAGATGGTAAACGTGCAAGACCTGTGTCAGTTTTCTTCAAGATTAAGGTGACAGCTGTGATCTTCCTGAAATACTATTCAATACACGGTCCCCTCGGTCAGGGAGGTGTGTCAGGGGGTATCAGATGGGTTTTGAATATGGGTTGCCTGATAGCGAAGGAAAGCATGGCGTCATTGTCATATTTTTTGTCTGTTTATTTGTTGTTTAACGCCGCACTCCGCTATATGACGGCGGTCTGTAAATAATCTGGACCAGACAATCCAGTGATTGACATCATGAGCATCGATCCACGCAATTGGGATAACCAAGTCAGTGAGCCTGACCACCTGATACCGTTCGTCGCTTCTTACGACAAGCATAGTCGCCTTTTACGGCAAGCATGGGTTGCTGAAGACCTATTATAGGTAGGTGTATAGGTGTATATTATAAGTTGTAGCAGGATCACTCGGGGTACATGGGGTTTGATGCGTCCCTCGTTCGGTTTTACACCACTCACCTCGCCTTGCCTCGGCGAGAGCTATAAAACGACATGTTTTGATATGACGATGTAAAATATTTCAAATAAGTTTCAAATTGATAGAAAACAGCTGTTCCATTGAGCTGAGGTTAGCTTGACTATGTCACTTGACATCCATTGACTCGGAAAAAGCGTGCGGCTTTTTACTTTGAAGAGGGGTATAAAGGATTTATTCTGTCTCTCAGAAATGAACGTGCAGCCTGTAGTACTCGTGGCGGGGTATAAGAGATTTATTCCCCCGATGAGAAATTTATCACCCTCAAAGACGGGTCACGCAGTATTTTATCAAGATCATGTGAACCAATCAGATTTCACCATTCTGATATGTCGGTGTGATAAATTCTCTTGTCTTGCAGTTTAGTTCCATGCATGGCGGTTTGGCAGTGCCTTTGATAACATGTGCCAAGTTATTAAGCAGCTAGCATCAGAAGGTCATCCTCACCTGTGATTGTAGCACTGGCATCGACATAGAGGACATGGGTTTAACGTGTATCAGTATAGACTGGACAAACGAGGACAATGTGAACTTCATTTTCAATTTGAGACAAATGGACAGAATCGAAGTGTTTTATCGATGCCCGTGTTTCCCTCTTTTATGCTTAATGTCTAGTTCACACATCTCTATTAAAGTAAGCATATGTCAATGGTATATTCAACACGTATGACAATGACAACGCTATCTCATCACAGAGTATAACGTTTGAATAACCTCAGAATATCGGTGATATGTTTCTTCTGAAGTTGATTTTGTAACTTTTATTTCAATCTTAAGTTTGTTGTATTCTTTTTGGAACAAGGACTAAATTTTTAATTATCATAACATGGAAAACTCTCCGAGCATTTTAGATTCCTTAAGAAGAAGATTCTGAAACATTTATATTTTGAATTGCTTTCAATTTTTTTAAATGATCTGGTTTTCATTTTAAAGCCATGCGAAAATCACTTAACATCACAACTAAATTTTAGTCTTCTTTCTGTGGCTTAATCATTTCGAATCATTTTTTCTTTCAAAAGACGAAATGGAAATCATGAACGCTATGAACAAATCTGACTACGAGGTTTCTCGGTGTGGGAACAGCTTGCAAAGTCTATTCTTGATATTCTTGGGATACGATGACATGCATCAGCCAAGTCAGCGAGCCTGACACCCGATCCTGTAAGTCGCCTCTTACGACAAGGATAGTAGCCTTTTACGGCAAGCATGGGTTGCTGAAGACCTATTCTACCCGGCTCTTCACGGGTCTCATTGTTATATATAGAGGAACTTTACAGGTCAGTATTATGGTAACACATATGTTTAGACAGGAGTGTGCTGGATGCAAGGACATTATTTCGCCTGACCATGAAACAAGAACCTTTTTATCACGACCTCGTCTGTACAGTTCAACCTACTCCGTGAGTCACACTTCATCAGTCTATGTTTGTAATAAGGCCCCTTGATGCTGGTTACTCGGGCATGAACGTGATGACAAGTATTACTGAACAGCGAGGACAATAACTGTCAGCCTTAACTATAGCAAGTACACGTTTTCAAGTTATCAAAACGTATCTAGGATGAAAAAAGGTCCGACATACTGCAAACTTAAGTTCCAAAAACATAATAACATGTATTATCCGTATCAAATACACCCGTGAACATCCGGGGTGGAATAGGTCTTCAGCAACCCATGCTTCCCGTAAAAGGCGACTATGCTTGTCATTAGGGGCGGCTAACGGGATCGGTGGTCAGGCGCGCTCACTTGGTTGGTGCATGTCATCGTATCCTTATTGCGTGGTTCGATGCTCATGACGTTAGTCACTGGATTGTCTGGTCCAGACTCGATTAATTACAGACCGCCGTCATATGACTGGACCATTGCTGAGTGCTGTGTTAAACAACAAACATAAATAAAACAAACAACAAACATCACCACGGCATAGCTATTTCTTGTTGGTTTCATTTCTTGCCCCCATCAAGCAAGGGTGTATACTATAAGTTGTAGCAGGATCACTCGGGGTATATGGGGTTTTATGCATCCCTCATTCGGTTTTACACAACTCGCCTCGGCGAGTGCTATAAAACGACATGTTTTAATATGACACTGTAAAATATTTCAAATTAATTTCAAATTGATAGAAAACAGCTGTTCAATTGAGCTGAGGTTAGCTTGGCTATGTCACTTGACATCCATTGACTCGGAAAAAGCGTGCGGCTTTTTACTTTGAAGAGGGGTATAAAGGATTTATTCTGTCTCTCAGAAATGAACGTGCAGCCTGTAGTACTCGTGGCGGGGTATAAGAGATTTATTCTCCCGATGGGAAATTTATCACCATCAAAGGCGGGTCATGCAGTAGTTTATCAAGATCATGTGGACCAATCAGATCTCATCATTCACGACATTGAGGTATGATAAATTCTCTTGTCTTGCAGTTTAGTTCCATGCATGGCGGTTTGGCAGTGCCTTTGATAACATGTGCCAAGTTATAAAGCAGCTAGCATCAGAAGGTCATCCTCACCTGTGATTGTAGCACTGGCATCGACATAGAGGACATGGGGGTTTAACGTATTTTAGTATAGACTGGACAAACGAGGACAAAAGGAACTTCATTTTCAGACAAAATGACAGAATCGAAGTGTTTTATCGATGCCCGTTTTTCCCTGTTTTTAATGTCTAGTTCACACATCTCTATTAAAGTAAGCATATGTCTGTCATCATTCAATGGTGTATTCAACACGTATGACAATGACAATGCTATCTCATCAAAGAGTATAATGTTTGAATAACCTCAGAATATCTCAGTAGATTTTGTAACTTTTATTTTAAGTTTGTTGTATTTGTTTTGGAACAAGGATTACATTTTTAACTATTATAACATGAAAAACTCTTCGAGCATTTTAGATTCCGAGAAGAAGATTCTGAAACATTTACATTTTAAATTGCTTTCAATTTTTTAAAATGATCTGGTTTTCATTTTAAAGCCATGCGAAAATCACTTAACCCAACTGAATTTTAGTCTTCTTTCTGTGGCTTAATCATTTCGAATCATTTTTTCTTTCAAAAGACGAAATTGAAATTATGAATGTTATGAACAAATCTGACTCCAGCTGAGGACAAGGCGTTCTCTTGGGGGGTTTTTAATTTCCGAAGGGTTCACGAGGTTTCTCGATGTGGTAACAGCTAGCAAAGCCTATTCTTTGGTGCCTCTCGTCCTGTTTTTATTTCAATTACTTGATTTGTGTCTGAGCCCACATTTAACGGACAGACAACAGACGGATGACACATTATGGCAAATTGTAGTTGGATCTTCAGTCGACCAGTTGGCTTGTATGGAGTGTTACTTGCGTCATGGACATAATGGTTGAAAAAGTAAACCATGTTTACATGTTGCTGGTAACTGATGCTTGTCCTGATGTAGTGATACAATACATCTCATACCAGAACCACCTGTGTCACTCGAGGGCCCGTGGCGGGATTCTTGAAGTACTCGCGGTGTAGCTGTAACACGGTGTAGCTGTAACACGGTGTAGCTGTGACACGGTGTAGCTGTAACACAGAGTAGCTGTAACACGGTGTAGCTGTAACACGGTGTAGCTGTAACACGGTGTAGCTGTAACACGGTGTAGCTGTAACACAGAGTAGCTGTAACACGGTGTAGCTGTAACACTGTGTAGCTGTAACACGGTGTAGCTGTAACACAGAGTAGCTGTAACACGGTGTAACCGTATTTCTGTCGTCCCTGGTACATTTTGACATTGCCCTGTAGCACACAGCTACAACTGCCACACAGTACAAGCGTCGTGGGACCGCCTCAATGGCCTAGTGGTAGAGCGTCCACCCGGAGAGCGGAAGGTTCGGGGTTCGATCCTCACCTGCGTCATGTCAAAAGACGTTAAAAGATTGTA